CTGCAGTCAAGAAAACCTGAGTTCAGGTTTGGCCTCAGACACTTACTACCTTTGTGACTCTGGGCAAATCACTTAACCCTGTTTGCCTCAGTTTCCTCATCTGTAAAATGAGCTGGAGAAGGAAAAGGCAAACTTCCTCAGTGTCTCTGCCAAGAAAACACTAAATGGGGTCTTAAAGAGTTGCAACACAACCACAACAACTGAATAACATCTTACTTGCAGGTATATACTCTTCCCAAGTACAGTATTCCCAACCTTTTTCAGCCCCTATAGCCCTTAGCTTTCAGTAGCCTTTTGTACCACCATTATACAATACAAAAGGAAATAAATTCTAGATTTTTCCACTTATGAGTATAGAAATATAATGAGATTAATTTATTTCAGTCAAATATTTTTATTATCCAAGTGTCCCATAGTCTTTCAATAATTTTCTCATATCTTGTGTTGGACAGAGAATCTCATGATTTAGTGTTTTTTTCCGATTCTCGTATGTATTTTTCTCTGACATATTTAGGATATTGATAGGAAAAGTTTTTCTACTGATGTGCCATTGAAATTTAGTCTAGCTATATTTCACTAAAAAAGTATTGATTTGATTCCAGGGGTCTAAATGATAATGATGCATGCCACCCCACCTTTTGCACCATTTAAGATGCAAAATGAGACATAAATTTTGGAATATAGCCAATGTGGGGTTTTGTTTTGCTTGGCTGCATATTTGTTACAGAGATTTTATGGGGGGACCTAAGAGGAAAGGCTAGAGGTAGAGTTATCACCAAAAAGATGGAAAGAAAAAAATCATTGAAGCATTTTTTTTTAACATTTACGGAAGAGAACCAAAAGAACTTCAAAAGAAATCATAGAAAAGGAGAGATTTGGAAATTGCATGTTGAATATATGATATAATCTTTAAATTAAATTATTTCTAAAAAGTTAACCAATATTTATTATCTCTCCTTCCTACCTTCACCCTGCTTTCTCCCTCTCTCCCCCAAAAAAAGGAAAAACAAAGCCCTTGAAATAAATATTGGGGGAGGGGGGAATATTAATACTGTACTATGCATTTTTAGGCTCAATTCTGCTAGAAAAAAATTAATTGAATTTAACATTAATCTATATCTAAGTCATTTCTAGCTTAAAGAGAGATATTCAAAATGTGGTATGCCCCCATGCCCTGTAATATGTCTGTCTACACCAAGACTATTTGAGATAACATTTATAAAAATCTTGAATAAGGAAAAGGTCATATGTATATTTATATAAAGGTTATAATACAGTTTGAGGTTAACATTTGAGAATAATAACTGTTCTCTGTACTCAATTCCTTCCTGGACTTCTCCTAGGACTGAAAAGGGTTTCATCCCTGAGATCAGTATCTTAACCTTGAATAAAAAAGAGACCCCTACTTCAAGTGGGTGGGAGAGGCCTTGATCCTATCTAGACTTGACCAGATTTGGTTATCCCACTTAATTCCTTTCTAAAAGAAATGCCTTAACTTTTGTTCTATCCACTTTTCTAAAGGGAAAAATTGGGGAAGGGTTTTAGGTTGGAGAAATAGTCCTTAATATTACTAGAAGAAACTAAAAAGGATGATTAAACAAAATTAGGCTCCCACATATATGTAGTCAAGCACTAAGTTCTCACGTTGGCCACATCCAAGAATGTTTCTCTATGTATGTGGTCCATCAGTCATCTGGTAGGAAGTGGCTAGCATTCTTCATGGTAGGTCCTCTGAAATCATCTTTGGTGTTTGTACTGAAATCACAGCTCTTAAATCTTTCAAAGTTGTTTATTTTACAGTATTATTATATAAGTTGTTCTGCATGTAATATACTTAAAAATAACAGTGTGTTGTAGATAATGGCTGTTCAGTTTCATTCATTCAATTAACACTTATTAAGCATCTTCTGGGCAACTAGGTGGAGCAGTGGATAGAGTGCTGAGCCTGGAGTCAGGAAGCTTCATCTTTGGGAGTTCAAATCCAGTCTCAGACACTTATCCTAGGCAAGTCACTTACCCCTTTTGCCTAAGTTTCTTATCTGTAAAATGAGCTGGAGAAGGAAATAGCCAACCTCACTAGTATCTGTGCCAAGAAAATCCCAAAATGGTGTCACAAAGAGTTGGGCATGACTGAAAAACTCCAAGTGCCTGCTATATGCCAGGCACTGTGCTAAGTGCTAGGAATGCAAAAAGAGGCAAAAGATAATCTTAGTCTAATAGGGGAGAGAACATGCAAGCAAATCTATACAAAGCAAACTATATACAGGAAAAACAGGAAATAATTGAAAGAGGGAAAGCACTGGAATTAAGAAGGGCTAGAAGGCTTCCTGTAGAAGATGGGATTTTTGGTTGGGACTTAAAAGAAGCTAGGGATGTCAGTAGTCAGAGCAGAGGAGAGGGAGAGATCCAGGCGTGGGAAGACAACCAGAGAACATACCCAGAGACCAGAGATGGAGTATGTTGTTTGTGGAACAGTCTGGAGGCCATTATTCCTGAATCAAAGCATATGTATGGATGAGGAAGGTAGGAAGGGGCTAGGTTATGCAGGGCTTTGAATACTAAACAGAGCATTTTGTATTTGCTCCTGGAGGCAATAGGGAGCCTTGGGAGTTTATTGAGTAGGGTGGTGATATGATCAGATCTGCACTTTAAAAAAATCACTTTGGTGGCTAAATGGAGGATGGGAAGAGATTTGAGACAAACAGATCCATCACCAGGCTGTTGGAGGAGGACCAGAGACTGGAGAGTATTTGAGAGATGTTGTAAAGGTGAAATCAGCAGGCCCTGGCAATAGATTGGATGGGAAGGGAGGCGGGGAAAGAAAGTGAGGATGACTTCTAGGTTGGGAACCTGAAGGACAGAAGGACTAGGACAGGGAGGGGAAGCTGCAGCCTGGAAGCCATGTGTGGCCCTGTAGGTCTTCAAGTGCTGCCCTTTGACTGAATCCAAACTTCGCAGAACAAATTCGCTTAATAAAAGAATTTGTTCTGTAGAACTTGGATTCAGTCAAAAGTCGCACCCGGGGACCTAGAAGGCTCACAGCAGGTTCCCCACCCCTGATCTAGGAGGACAATGGTGGTTTTCTCCACAGTGATAGGGAAGGTTTAGGGGGAAAGATAAAGAGTTCCGTTTTGGACGCATTGAGTTTAAGATGAATACTAGACATCCAATTTGAGATGTCTTAAAGGCAGTTAGAAATGCCAAACTAGGGGCAGCTAGGTGGTGCAGTGGATAGAGCTCTGGCCTTGGAGCCAGGAGGACCTGAGTTCAAATCCAGCCTCAAACACTTAACACTTACTAGCTGTGTGACCCTGGGCAAGTCACTTAACCCTGATTGCCTCACCAAAAAGCAAAGAACAAAAAAAAAACTGGAGGTCAGCAGAGAGATTGGGGCAGGAAAGGTAGATTTTAGAATTGTCAGCATAAAAATGGTAAATCAATCCAAGGTTACTGATGAGACCATCACTAAGTGAAGCAGTTAGAGAGAGAAGAAAAGAGGACCCAGGACAGAACCCTGAGGACCACGTTCAGCCAGAGGACGTGATCCGGGGAGGATCCAGCCAAGGAGACATTACAGTCCTTTTTCTGTTCTACTCTATACAAAAGTGCTCCAATTTATCCTGTTTGGAGTGTTTGTATGGAATTGTTTGTGTGTTGCCTTCCTATTAGAGATTTGTATTTCTTGAAAGCAAGGACTGTCTTGTTTCTTTTTGTGTTCCCAATGATTAGCACAGTCCTTGGCATATAGTAGGCTCTTAACAAATATTTATTGACTGATAACCAGTTGTTTATTAAGTTCAGAATGAAAAAACAATTAAAAGAAAAAGTAGTGATCCCTAGGGACTGATTAAGGACTTGAGTCTTAGAATGAATGAACAAAGCATTTATTAAGCACTTACTATGAGCATAGCATTGTGCTGCCGGTCAGATACAAAGAGCTTACATTCTAATGAGACAACCCATGAAAGGTTTCCACTGAAAATCAGATGGAAAGTCTCATGGTCCTCAGGCAAAGCTTATGGTAAAGCATCTGTGTTCATGTCATTTTATATATATATAATTTTCTGATGGGGGCAGCAGCTAAGTGGCCCAGTAGATAGAGCACTGGACTTGTAGTCAAGAAGACCTGAATCCAAATCCAGCCTCAGACGCTTACTAGCTGCGTGACCCTGGGAAAGTCAATCTCAGTTCGCCTCTGTTTCCTCACCTATAAAATGGGAATAACAGCATCTACCTCCCAGGGTCATTGTGAGGATCAAATGAGATAGTATTTGTAAAGCACTTAGCACAGTGCCTGGGACATAAGTGCCATGTAAATGTTGTTATTCTTATTGTCATCATCTTTTATCATGTTGAATAATTTAACGTTGCCCAGGACTTTGGTGGCAAGAACTTTTTTTTCTGGGTTTTCAATAGCTGTGGCAATAGCATTTGAAGAAGCAATTGCCAGGCTTCGTCTCCATAGGGTTTGTTTCCCAGGATGACGGCTGAGGGCAGTGGGCCAGAAGCATCATCATTCTCTTAGGTTCAGAGTCCTGAGCTGTCTAGATAAGAATCTGAAGGGAAATGGTGGTCAATGGCGGTAGTGGTGACTTGCCTTGCCTGGCAGATGCTGCCTTTAGTTTCTTCCCTCCCTCCCCCGACCCTCCTCCCCACCCCCTCTGCTTGCTGGCTTTGTGAGGGGCAGTTGGTTGGCAGTTGGTGGAGACAGCTGGCCTCAGATGTTGCCTCCCTGGATGATGACTATAAGAGCTGGGCTGGAGGTATTGATGGGGAGAAGACGGTGCTCCCATACTCCTAGGGGTCCTGGGTCTACCTATTTCTTGGGAAATGATTATTTTTAATGAAGGCTCAGGAAAAAAAAAAGCCTTACTTTACACAGTTCTGTCTGGGAATTAGGAACCCTCTTTGATGACATTGGTTCTCATTTTTAAGCAGATATTTATATTCAGGTTCTGGCTGCAGTAAGGCTAACCTTCACTCCCTCTCCTCTATTCCAGGCACCAAATCGGCTGCCGAACACAGCAATGGTGCCTATGATGTTGGGTTGCCCTCCCAATCCCCATACATGAACATGTTCCCAGTACTTCATCTCGTTGAGGACCTGAAGCTGTCATTGGAGATGCTGGGAGATCCTCAGGAAAGAGAAGCCCTCCGGGGTCAGATCCCAGAGCCCACTGCAGCCTACATAAAAGAGTGGCTTCAGGGAAATTTGGTGAGTAGCTTTGATACAACCATCCCAGGAGCCGCTCTGTCTGGTGGGCCAGGAAAATCTGTCTTGGCAACCATGTTAAAGAGAACAGGCATGCCACTCAGCTAGAGAATTGCTAATTGCTTTGTGGGAAAAATTGGGGGAAAGTATGGGAGATTTATCGAACATGTAAAAAATTATCTAAGCTTGACATTCCTACTTAACCTGTGGTTTGGTGTTGTTTTGTTTTGTTTTGTTTTTAATATTCTAGTCTCCCTCTCTCCTTATCTAACCCCTGTCCCCATGGACAATTTTCTTCTAAGCCTATCATAACTCTCACCAGGCTTTAGGCTAACATCCAAATCTTCTATATTTTCCCATTCCTATCTGATCTGCCTGTAGCAGTGGTTCTCAAACTTTTTTACTCTTAAATTATTGAGGACCCCAGAGAGCTTTTGTTTATGTTGCATATATCAATGTTTACCATATTAGAAATGAAAACTGGTGAAATTTTAAAGTATTTATTAATAGATTTTAAACTCATTAGTAACATATTTTTATTATTTTTTAAAAATGATATATTTTTTAAAATAGTGAGAAGAATCACATCATTTTACTCATTTTTGCAAATCTCTTTAATTTCTGGCTTAATAGAAGGTAGTTGGATTCTTATCTGCTCTTCCACATTCAATCTGTTGCAATATGCTATTTTGGTTGAAGTATAGGAAGAGAATCCAGCCTCACACAGATAAGTAGTTGGAAAAGGGAGGAGTATTTTAATAGGGAAATAGTGTCTTAGTATGATTATGAAAATAATTTTTACCTCACTGACCCTCTGAAAGGGGTATGAGAACTGCTGGTACTCTTTATGGTACTCTTTATTCCAAGGAAAGGAGCAAACCTGCTCTTCAAGATAAAAGATGGAAGGATGGATGGATGGTTCATTCACCTCTGGAACTAAGCTTTTTTATCAGACAGTATCCAATCAAATTCAATTAGCATTTGATTCTAATCCAATTTCAATTTATTAATTTATAGACCCTTCCCATTAAACTAAAATGACTTTCAACTCTCAATCTTCCCCTGTGACTCTGACCCCCATAATATGTCAACCCAGAATAGTATTATCTAGATCCAGTACCTCCCTATTAAGCTTGGATATAATATCCTAGTGCCAGGGAAAGAGCATTGGATTTGGAGTCAGGAAATTTGGGTTCAAGTCTTGGCTCCAATACAATCACTTTTTAACAGAGGCTGAAACTGAGTCTTGGAGAGGTTTAATGACATACTCAGAATAACAAAGATAGTAAACAGCAGAGCCAGAATTCGAATTCAGATCCTCTGAACCCTAAACCATTATGAGGTTCCTTCCTGAACTCTAATCTCCGGGGGAACTCCCTGGTGGGAACAGAATTCATTCAGGTATCCCTGAATCCTGTTTGTCTACTCTACATCCTTTTACTAGAAAGTGGGGAAGATAGCTTTCCTGAAAGCTGCCTTTCCAGTTCATTCTGAATGAAGAGATAGTTATTGCTAAATATTTTAAGGGGAACAATGAACCAATAGTTCTCCCTTAGAAAAGAGGTAATCATGTCAGCATTAAGTATTTATCCCAGGTAACCACTGTTACCTGGCATTGTTGCTTCTCTCCAAGGCCTCTGGGTGTGGCTAAATTTTACTCCAAACACATTCAGTCTCCCCATTCTTAGTCAGTGTGTTCTCTCAGACTTATCTCTGTAGAGAGATGTGATTTGAGAAAGAGAAGGATTTCAGGGGATGGGTTTTATTTTTTGTTTTGTTTTGTTTTAATGGATGAGAGGTCTTATTTAATCCAAAACATCCTTACTTCAACTTCATGCTGCCCAGTCCTTCCTTACTGAGTCCAAAAACGCAAGTGAATATTTTCCTATACAGAACCATTGAGAGATCTTTAATTCTGTCAAAAAAAAAAAAATAATGCAAATGTTTGCCAAATGGAAAAGAAAGAAGTTTTTTAAAAATGTGGGGGAAGAAAGGGCTGCTTTATGATTAATGAAATTCGACTCTTGGGCCTGCCTGTGCCAACCAGGAAATACTTGTAAAGAAATGAAATGTTTTCTGAGGCAATCTTTCCTTCTATCCAGTGGAAGAAGATATTAGGAGATCAGACACTGACTTTTCCCAAGAAAAGGTGGCGTCGTTTTATTTCTGAAAGCAGCCCCTCCTCTGTCACGGGGCTGGAAGCAGAACCCCAGAATTCCAGGGTGCACCAAGTTCAGCCCGCCTGGCTCCTTTAAAGGGAGCTGGTGTTATCCTACCAGTCCATCTGCCCACTGGGGCAGTGAGTGAAGATGGTGCTGCCTGCCTGTCATTTGTTCTGATGCAGTGGATGGGAGAGGCCACTGGAGGGGGCAGGGACAGAAGAGGATGCTGCTCAGACTCCTCTGACGCCCTGCGGCCTCCATCAAAGGCCAAGGACCGTCTGAGGATGGCATTCTTCCTTGCCATTGTTGCCTTCAGAAATTGTTGATTAAACCTTGAAAAGAACCATTTCGGTCAGATTTGGGATTTTATCAGGAAGAATGGCATCAGAGTTTACAAGTTCATTTTCGTATTACAAATAGTGTAACCAAATAATAACTAGTATTTCAGTGGTGTTTCACCGTTTGCAAAGCACTTTACATAATCTCCTTGAGCCCCAAACTGTGGCAGATATAGGGATAATAGTAATAATAAATAATAGCTAACATTTATAGAGTGCTCATTATGTTTCAGGCACTGTGCTAAGCGCTTTACAATTGTTATCTCTTCTTGATCTTCACCACGATCCTGGCAAGTAGGTGCTGTTATTATACTCATTTTACAGATGAGAAAACTGAGGCAAACAGAGTAAAGTGACTTGCCCAGGGTCACACAGCTAGTAATTAGAACTCGGACTTTCCTGACTCCAGGCCCAGGACTCGAAGCACTTGGCCTTTCCCAGTGGGTAAAGTACCTGTTACAGCAGTGTTTGTAACTGCTCACAGGGCTAACAGTGTGTGCGCTCCTGCCACCATTTTAGAAACTCAGGCTCAGATAGATAATTTGCCCTTGGGCATGTAGCTGTGAGAAGAGGAGGTAGGATTTTAACCCCTCCTCAGTCAGGAGCTGGGTTCAGATCTCATCTCTGATACCATCTGGAACACTTTGACAAAGATCTGACTTCCCCAGGCCTCAGCTTCCTCATCTGTAAAATGAAGTAGTCAGCCTGGACAGCTTCTGAGGACCCTCCAATTGCAGTTCTGTGAACCTGGGATGGATGCCAGGTCTTCCTGATTCCAACTCCATCCCTCTCGCCGATCACTAGGCCACACTTCCTCTCAGAAAAAAGGAAAGGTCTCTGAATGGGAAGCTCAGGACTGGCTAATCAGGAGCATCTGGGCCAGGTAGAAAGTGCCAGTTTCGTTGGTGGTGGGTTTAGAGCAAGAGTTCTTAACCTGAGGTCTGGGAAGTTGTGATACATCTAGATATGTGTCTCCACATATACATGTATGAAATGCATAGATGTGCATATTTATGCATGTATAATAAATGTTATTTGTTATGTATAACATAAATACATGTTATTGTATATATTATATTATATTATACATAACATAATAGGAGCAGCTAGATGGCACAATGGATGAGTGCTAATCCTGGAGTCAGGAAGAATCATCTTTGTGAGTTCAAATTTGGCTTCAGACACTTAGTGTGTGACCCTGAGCAAGTCACTTAACCTATTTGTCTCAGTTTCTTCATCTATAAAATGAGCTGGAGAGGGAAATGGCAAACCACTCCAGTATATTCATCAAGAAAACCCCAAGTGAGCTCACTAAAGGTCAGACACGACTGAAAACAACTGAACAATACCAATTATAATAATAATGTCTTATATATTTAAAATTTATTTTCAGTTCCAAATTCCTTCTCTCACCCATTGAGAAGGTAAGGAATGTGATACCTGATTTTTTTTAAATAAAATTTTAAATTTGTTTATTTAGATAACTATTTCAATAGAATTAGTTTCCTTTTTTACTCTCTCAGGGGTAGGGAACCTTCAGGCTGAAGGCCACAAATTCCCCACCCCTGTGTACTTTATGCATTTAGAAACGTTATTCTATGGGAGGGGTCTAGACTGCCAAAGACACACATGCAAGAAATAAAAATTCAGAGCTCTTGGTTTTGAGGGGAAAATTGAAAAGCACTAAACAAATCAGTTCTGAATGACATTCAAGGAATTTTCATCAGCTTCATTCCCCCCTTGTTCTTTTTGCTGTAAGGTTGAGAGTGTATTTAAACCAAGCAGGCTTTAGAGACATTTCCAAGGGGTTTACAATTCCCATAAAGGCAAGATTCATTAATTACAAATTTAGTGAATTTTGGGTTTTTTCCCCCCAAAAAATTCCAGGAACTCCTACCCAGCTGGCTCAATCTTTTGGCCATCTTCCCTGGCTCATCTTTCTCTGGTCCCACCCAAATGTGGGTGTCCTGTAAAGGTTCTGTCCTTATCCAATCTTTACCCATCTTTCAACACTCTCTCACTTGAAAAATCTCATTCTCTCCCTTAGATTCAATTATTACCTCTAGGCAGGTGATTCCCAGATCTCTATGTCCATCCCCCATCTCTCTCCAGTGGTGTAGATTACTGATGCAGAAACCAGGCCCTATCATTCTCCTTCTCAAAAACCTTCAGTAGTTTCCTGTAGCCTGTAGGCTAACATACAAACTCTTCCACCTACCATTTCATTTGAAGGCCCTCTGTGATCTGCCTTTAACTTACCTTACCATCCCTCCTTCCTTTCATGTATTCTACATGCCCTCTCTTTGCCTCATACCTGGATTGCACTTCCTCCTCATCTCTGCTGTTGAAATCCTCTTCCTTCAAGGCCTAGCCAAGCACCGTCTTCTCCAGGAAACCTTCTCAGATGCCCTGTGTTGGAAGCAAAGTCTCTCTCCTTGAATGTCATCTAGCATTTTGGGTCTTTGCTTTTCCCTCAGTATATTCTTTCTTATTTCAAATGTGT